CACCTCTCCCAAAGCTCATCACTCAACGGGTCCTCGACCATCTTCCACGTCTCGTCATTATCACGCACATCGTTCGGGCTGTCGTCACCCGGCGGCTGCGCATTCGGATCCTCAGACGCGTCCGGGTCCTGCGGCGGCAGCAGACCCAAATGTTCGCGCCAGAGATATCGTCTCAGACTCGACGCATGCCGCCCCGCCTCGAACGGTTCGCCGTCCATGGTCGACTGGATCTTGTCGCTATCCTCCATCACGACGCTCAGCTCGCTGTCGTGGTATCCGAGCTGGCTGCGATCATTAAGATTGCTCGAACCGCAGACTACCACACGGTCGTCGACGATCAACAGCTTGGCGTGGATGTACAGCTCCTCCTGGATCCAGTGGTTCACCTCGTCCTCTGCGTCGCCCTCCCACGGGACATCGAGGATCGAACCGGGCGTGGCCATGGCGTGGTGGGCGACGCTGAACGGCGTGTCGTTTTTGTCGTTCTCGTGTCCGGCTGCCTCGAACCGCCGCTTCTTGTCGATCCCCTGCTCCTCGGCGTCCGGCCGCTGCGCCTCTGCTGTGTCCTTCTTCAGCTCCGCGCTCTCCCCGGCCCCGCGCTGCTCGTGCAGCTTGCCCATGTGCCGGTCTCGGCCGCCCGACACATCAATCGTCCCGTGGATGCCTTCTCCCATAACCTCCTCGGCCTCGGCCCGCTGGAGCTCCTGGTAGTTGACGCCCGACTCCTGCTCCTGCCTCTGTATCGCCGACGTCTTGTTCAGCCGGTCGTAGCTCCGGAGATTGAAAAAGTAGATGTGCTTGGTGGGATCGACGCCCTCCTTCTTGATCTGCTCAAAGATGCTGTGCTCGCCGCGCCAGATCGACGTGTATTGGTAGTCCATGATTGCCCTCGTTCCGATGGCGCCGTCCTCTCGCAGATCGCCGGCGAATCCGGGGATGGCAGGTATCACGACGATGACGCGGAACTTGCGGTTCTCCTTGGCCGCTTGGACCACGGCATCGACAATGGCGCGTCCGATGGTGTTGTGGATGGGATTCTGATGTTCTCCCGTGGCCGTGATGAAGAACTGGTTCTCGATGTACACATAGTGTTTCGCGTTGCGGATGAGCTCGTGGTATGCGTTCTGAATCGAGTGGTCCGTCAGAACGCCGCTGGACCAGTCCGAGCTTGACCGCACAACCTGGACCTTGAGGCTGCCGCGGTTGTCGAGTTTCTTGCTCTCCATCGGGGAGAGGGGATGCAGCGTATATCCACCGACTGGATGGTGCGGCCGTTGGACTCCAACCAGATCCTCATCTTCCCCCTGACGACCCCTGAGCTCGAGCCATTCGAAGCGGCGATCCCGCTTATACTTGTCACGCTTCACGAAATTCCAGCGAAGAACAAAGTGCTCGGCCACATCGTAGACACTAGGCCCGATGATTCCCATGGCCACATCGTGCCAGGGCATGCGGCCATAGTCGGCCTTGCTCAGCTCGTTCTGCTTCCAGTCCTGGACGTTCTTAAAGTCCATGATGCGGTTGTTGTTGAAGTCTTGGCCGGGCCAGAGCTCGTTCGCAACGCCTTCGGGATGCACATCCGACAGGGTATGCTGATGGTTGTCCCACCGACCAAAACAGAGGTCGAGACCGCCGACAAACGCCATCTCGTAGTCGATGACGATGAACTTCTCGTGGTGGGCCCAATAAAACGTCATGTCGGCCGCGTTCTCCAGCACGTTGTGGTCCGGGTGCCGCATGATCTTGATGTTGCCGTAGCCGGGGGAACCCTCGGGACACAGAGACTGCAGCGCGTGCTTGGTGTGCTCCGAGTTGCACGTCAGGGCCGCCTGGACCTCGCGGTAGACGATGATGTAGATCTTGACGCCGGCCTCGGCGCGCCGTTTCAGGACCTGATCGAGACGCCACTCTTGGTTGAAGTAGGGAGGACGGCGCAGGAAGAGCTCCGGGGAGAGCCACCAGTCGGCGATGTAGATGGTCTCCTTGGCCTTTTCGAGCGCGACCGACACGGCCCAGAAGTAGTCCCGGCCGTCGACATACCACTTGACCATGTTGCCTTCGCGCTCGGGGAAGTACGACTCGAAGCGGTGGGACTGGCAGATGCGGCTGCGCTTCTCATCGCAGGCCTTCTCGTGGGCTTCATCGTGGCGATGCTGGGGGTTGAACAGGTTCGCAAACTTGCCGATCTTGTGTCTATGTCGAGTTAGCCCTGTGACAGACGAGAAAGATTCGGCCATACTTTTGGTGGATCAGGTGCACTTTGGCATCCCCAAGATGGGTATGGTGGAGCTTTTCTTTGAGCTCATGGAGGGGATGCTTGAGTTTGTCACTGAGGTGGTGTTTCCCGTTTGGTTCCCCCATGGCTACGTCTGGTCCTAGGATTTAGTTGGTATGGAAATTGTTGAGGAACCGAAAGCCTTCAGATGGAGGTCACATGGAAGAAAGGCCAATTGAGATATTCTCGGGCGGGAATTGCAGGATGCTCAAATAATGAGGACGATGACGGATGCGGCCAGCTTCTTAACCAAGCGCTTCCGCTGTGATCATGCCGACGAAGAGCTCGCTCGGATAATCGGTATCACGCCGAGAGCTTGCCAACTTCTCACAGCCAATAATGAACTGGTCTAAAATCCTCCGGAACAGGTGTGCAACCGCAGGAGCCATTATGTTGGACATGTTGGACTTGCACGGGCAGCTCAAGCCATGACGTCATCCAATGTGTTCGAGGCGGTTGGAGCGCTGTTTATTCATCCGCATTGCACTACACGTAGCCCGTGGGTAGCCTGAATCCTAGTCTGGTAATACTCGTTTCTCTGATCTCAGCCCTTAGCCTCCTACTGACCTTGTTTCGGGGCCTCTCTTTGACTATCGTTGAGTGGTCACTGGTCAGGGTGTTGAGGAGAGCCGAGTTCGAAGGCCACCGGGTAGTCCACGGCACTCGTTTCGAAACCAGACAGGTACGGAGGCTCCGGCCAAAAGAGAGGGTCCCCCTCCACAGTACGGAGTTAAGTTTTCAGAGTTATTCACACTGTCGAAACTATCCTTGCCTGTAGGTGAGAAGCACTGGAAGGCCGCTTGATTTAGTGCTCACCTCGCTAAATCTCAGGGCTACTAGTCCTGAATTTTGGATGGCTGCTGCACTGTGTGCGCGATAGGCTTGCGATAAGTGGTTGGCCAGGCAGTGAGCAGGGGTGATCTGCGCACTGGGCGAGGGGACCCTTTCTTTTGGCCGGAGCCTCCGTACCCCAAGAAAGTTCCCAAACCCCAAGAAGTTCCAATATCCCTATCCTTACCCTGATGCAAAGTAATGCCATCTCATCTTTTCCCAACTCTACATTGTTTGACGTATGCCACGTGACCCCATTTGTTATCGTGTCGTCTGGTTTCCAGGGCACCAATCACTGCGGGGGAGGGGTCAGGGAGGGGTCGCAGCCGCGAGTGGCTAAAAATGGGCCGGCCAGGGCCTGGTGGGGTTCATCATCGTGTCTGGCCGTTGACCGCCAACAGCTTCTTTCTTCCTGAGCGTAGCAAGAGCGACTGTCGAACAAGCCTGTACCCGAGAAAATCACCGAAATCATGGCGGCCGCCGTAGCCCAGATCCCCGCCGGGGGCACCTACATCGACACCATGAAGAAGCCCTTCACCCAAGTTCCCGTGGATGCTGCCAACAAGGACGCCATCTCCACCGAGGAGTTCCTCGAAGCGGCCGAGTCTCTGACCACTATGTTTGGTAGCTTTCCTTGGATGGGCAAACGCGCAAGGACACACAAGCGCTGACAATGTCAAGATCTCCTCGGTTCCGTCGCGTTTTCTCCCGTCAAGAAGGACATGCTGGGCAATGTCGAGGTGCGTCTCTGTTCACCGCCGCTTTTGGAACAAAACTTACGCTCCCCGGTAACTAGAAAATCCGCAAGCGATATCTCGCCGCCCCCCTCGAGTCTCAGAATTTGCAGGACCTCGTCAGGAACGAGCTCAAGACAAAGTCACACGTGGCGACCGAGGGCCTGTTGTGGTTGGTGAGGTGAGGAAGACACTATGTTGATTCTGGGGAAATTCTGACATGATATATCAAGAGGTCTGGAATTCACATGTCTGGCTCTGAGCAACAACGTCTCCAAGCCGGGAGAGGAGCTGGCCGACTCTTTCCGGGGTGCCTACGGCTCGACGCTCAAACCCCACCACAGCTTCCTGGTGAAGCCCATCTTCAGCGCCGCCATGAGCGCCTGTCCGTACCGTAATGATTTCTACGGCAAGCTGGGTAATGACGACGCCAAGGTGCAGACGGAGCTGCAGGAGTACCTTGCGGCGCTCGAGAAGATTGTGGGTATTCTCAAGGAGTTTTTGGCCAGCAAGGAGGCCCAGTGGAAGTGATCAGCCGATGGAAGTGATGGCGGGTCAGTAGGGGTATATATGGGTGGCTAGGGGAAAGCCAGGGGAAATGCGGACAAAACATGAGTAGCAACGGTTGGCATACAGCATATGCGTATTTATCTTTATATCTTTAGGATCACAAAGTGGCAACGTTCTGTGAGCTCGGATATGCCAAGACTATTACTGACTGCTGTTGGGATGCAGTGTCGAGCATTGAGTCAATTGATCACTGTCTGCGCTGAGGGCTAGTATGCGTGGGTCATCGACAGAGGAAACAGAACAAATCCCGTGGAACGCCGCTAGCTGCACCAAAACACCACATGCGCTGTGTGACACTGGGATGCAGACACTCCCTAAAGGTCTGTATGACTGCGACAATTGTTCGCCACTCCTCAGATGTCCATTTATGGTTATGAAGATTTCCTCAAACTATTTGGGAACATTGATCTATAGCAGGGCGAATACATATCCACTCAGCAAAATACATGTGCGAAACTGTGTTGACGTTGGTGGGGAGGGAGGGGCGTGGCGCACCAAGCAAACATGCCCCCTTCCTCTAAAACTGCTCAAGGTTTATAGGCTCACAATCCGAGCAGGAAGGACACCGATTGGAATATCGCATTCGAAAAGCCCACGTAGCACAATTGGTCAGTGCGTCAGACTTTTAAACCACGATTTAAAGTGGAGACATCTGAATGTTGCGAGTTCGAGTCTCGTCGCGGGCGGTTTTTTTTGTTGGTGTTTTAAATTGATGTGGTTTGAGTTTCCTTTTGAGTTGTATTAACGGGAGGGACAAGGCTGGATGCTTGGTGTGGAAGGACTCGGAAAAAATTTTTGGCTGGGCCGGCTGGTTGTGGTCGAAATTGTTAGTGGGTGGACTCCACTTTTCTGGTGTGAGTGTGGTTTGAGAGTTTGAGAGTTCGTCACCAATTCGACTGAAGAAACTGGAACTTGGTCACGCTGGAACTGCGGTGCTCACTGTCTGGACGATCGAGGCAAATGATTTGCAGGATACTCAAAGTTTTTATCGCGATTGGAGTATCAGCGGTGCGGTGCAGTGCAGGCTGGTGTCTCTTCCAGGGCCGGTGTCTTCCTAGGTGGCACGGATTTTCTCCCAGGCAAGGCACGACTTGAGCCCAAGGTCCCAGACACTACCGACGCGTACCTATTCGACACTTCCTTTTTCCTGTCACGAGAACAAAACTCGACACGCGTTGGAGAGCGCACATCTGACAGGAGAAATGGAGTCCATCTACAGCTAGAAAGTTGATCCCAAAAGGGCAAAGATATTCCAGCGTCAAGTCGACGATCGGGGGTAGGATAACGCGATCGGGGGCTTGCCGATCGACCTTAAGCCAGCTTGGCCAGCCGCATCCCCACGATCCCGAGTCTTCTGGACCTGAAACAACGGCAATCTTCCCCTGGTGCTTTCTCTCCATCTCGGCCAATTTTTGTAATTCTCATTTCAGCCCGCACAACTGATGCTGCCAAGGACTGATCGACAGGCACGTTCTGGTGGAGTCGAGGTTTTCTAACGCCAAGCTCAGACGACGACGGATGGTCCTTCGGGACGGTATCGATCATGATTTCAGTTCCTGCGTTGCCACATTACTCTTGAGGCGGATTCAGCATCACGAATCTTCCCCAGAAATATTACAGATGCTAGGATGTTCTAACCCTCAGGTCCTAGGTAGTAAGGTAGAGTAAGTCTGTGGCTCTCAGTGAAACTAGGATGACGACAAGATGCCGGGCCCCTCCGATGAGGGCCATGCCAGCTGAAGACATGCCGATGCAGGACGGAACTAGCCTTGTGGACGGAGAAATAAGGAGCGGCCCAGGATGCAGATTCTCGGATGTCGGATGGCCGGTGGATGGCCTACCTAGAAACCCCTGCCACGCTCACGTTCTCTGGTAATCGGCCCTGTTGGCGATGGCATCATCCTCCGCCTCTCCAAACCGGTGATCTCTGCCCTGGCTGGAAAGGTCTCAGCAACGTTCAACCTCCGCTCCGTCAAGAGTCTCGCCGTAAGTTGCTTCTCCCGTGGGGGCTTCACTCACTTCCTCAACTCGTGCACCATGGGGAGTCCCACCATGGCATCGACAACGGACCAAATGGTATCATCGTCTTCATCAAGCACGACAGCAACATGCGGGCTGCCATCAGGAGACAAAGTGACGATCAAGCAAGGCAACATGCGGGCTGCCATCGGGAGAGAAGATGTATAAGTAGACAAGAGAAAGCGCTCAAACTCACTCAAATCTTCTCATCATCACCACACTCAACAGAGATCTACCAGACTCGTCCACTCCTTTTGATTTGTACTTCAACAAAATGCACTCGCTTCTCGGTTTTGCCCTCTTAGGCCATCTGGTCTCCCACCTGGCCACCGCCATGCCCACGACGGGCACCACAGCCATCACCAACAAACTTCCCCTGGACGTCAGCCTGCCGGTCTTGTCTCCGCTCATCCCCGGCGCCGTCGCGCCCCCGGTGAGGAAGCGCAGCCCGCTGGACCTCAGCCTGCCGCCGCTGATCCCGCTGATCCCGGGCGTGACGGAGCCGCTCTCGGACAATGCGCCGCCGCTTCCGATCCTGCAGGTCCCGACGCCGCCGCTCGAGAGCGAGCCCTTCACGGCGTCCAACATCCGGCCCAAGAAGATCGGCTACTTCTGGACGGGCGCGGGCGACAACAAGCACAAGGACTTCCTCGTCACCACCAGTCTCGACGACGACACTTTCGGCACCATCATCGACATCACCGACGTCCCCTCGAGCGGCAATTCGCCGCACCACCTGGGCCCCTCGCACGACGGCAAACTGCTGATCGGCGGCGGGCTTCTGTCGCTGCTCAAGACGCAGGACACGGCCTTTTACTTTGATGTCAGCAACCCGTACCGGCCCAAGTTCGACCACTCCAACCGCGGCGTGCTCTCGTCCATTGTCGACGAGATCCGCGCCAAGCCCGACGGCGGCTTTTTTATCACGTACATGGGCTCGGCCGCCGGCACCGCCCCGGGCCGCCTGGTCGAGACGGACGCGGCCGGCAACATCATCCACGAGTGGCCCGAGGACGTCGAGAGCACGCTCAACATCCTCGGCGAGCAGTTCTCGCCGCACGGTCTCACCATCGACTTTGACAAGGGCGTCGCGCTGACGTCCGACTTTGTGGTGCCCTACACCATCCTCAAGCCCACGCTCGGCATCCAGAAGGCGTCGACGCTCCGGCTGTGGAACATCAACACCAAGCGCATCCTGTCGACCATCCACATCCCCGACGGCGCCGGCATCCAGGACGTCAAGTTCATCCCCGGCAACCCCGAGTCGGCCGCGCTCGCGACCGCCGTCGGCCCGGGCCAGGTGTGGATCATCTACCCGTTCCGGACGCAACCCGACGGCACCCAGGGCGTGGCCGAGCTGCTCTATGATCTCGGCGACAAGGCCAAGAACTCGCTCGCCATCTACAGCGACATCTCGGCCGACGGCAAGCTCGCGTACTTCACGCTCACGCTGGGCAACCACGTCGCCGCGCTGGACATTTCTGACCTGAACAACGTCAAGCGGCTCGACGACCCGGACGCGACGCAGCCCATCATCGGACCGCACTATGTCAAGATCTCGCCCGATAAAAAGAACTTGTTGGTTACCGGCTACTTTGTGCAGGCGGGCGACATCTCGGTGCTCAACACGCCCGGCGACTACAAGGGGCACTGGATTGATATTTTGGAGGATGGGAGTCTCAGCTTCAACCGCACCATCGACTTTGAGGCTATTTTTACCAGGAGCAGGGGAGGCGCGCGGCCGCATTCGACTGTCATTTATGATCTGACGGATCCGGAGAATCCGGTGTACTACTGATGGGAGGTAGAGTTGGCCATGACGCTGATGGTTGACGATGGGGATGGGGTTGGGGGTTGGGGTTGATGAAGGGTGGTTGTCTGTCTCTCTTTTTACACGCTTTCTTTTCTCATCCCAGACTGGTTGACTCCTATTCTTTTTTTCTCTTGTTCTAGTTTCGTAAAAAGTACCTACACTTAGTATCGTAGTGATAATGTCAAATACACCTTCCCTCTCTGTCCTGACACTTTCTTGTGCTTCAACTAGCGTCAGAAAACATATTTTTTGGGAAGGGTATGAAACGTAAGAAGATTGTGCTTCAACATGTATCATCACCCGTTACAAAAAACACAGCCACAACACCTTCACACCATATACACCCAACACCACCAGGGAAATGTCAAATACCTTCCCTCCCTCTCTGCTCTGACAATTTTCTTGTGCTTCAACTGGCGTCAGAAAATCAGATTTTCTTTCGATCATGACAAGAAAAGAAGATTGACCAATTACAACCACAACACCACAGCATAGAATATACACCAAACACCAAAACACCACCAGGAGAAAATTTAATACCAAAATAAATAAATAAAATAAATAAACTATTCCTTCTTAACAGCAGACGCAGCACCCTCGTTCCGCATCCCCTCGCAACCAGTCACCTTCCCAGCCATCTCCTCGACCTTGCCGTACCCGCTCGCGAACGGGTCGCGACTCTCGGTGGCGGCGCGCAGAGACGCTTTCGCGTGCGCCTTGTCCTGCTCGCCTGAGGTTGTCCAGGCGTGGGAGGAGGTTAGTTGGCCTATTGCTGCCTTTTTTTTTCGGAGGTTGTTAGTATTTTATTTTGTTTATGTATTTTTTGGATGATGGGGGTGGTTGTTGGTGTGTTGGTGGTGGGGAAGTGGGAGGTGGGAATGGTGGTGGTGGTGGTGGTGGAAAGGGGGAAAGGGGAGGGGGGAAGGGGATTTGTGGGAGATGGGTAGACATACCTCAGCTGCGCCCTTGATGTACTCGGCATGTCCAGCGACAAGACCTGGTTGGTCCTGGGGGATGTTGTTGGTGTTTGTGTTGTTGTTGTTCTGGCTCGACATTTTTTTGTTTGACCGGCAAATGGGCGATGTATAAAACGGTGAGTTGAGTCAGTGAGTTGAGTGAGTGGTTGGATTGGTATTGTAAGGTGTTTTGAACGGTTTTATTCCACAGTTAAGACGAATGAATCACTTTGGAGGAAACCATCACAGAGTTTGCAACTCGAAAACGTTAATATATATCTCGAAAAAGTATCAGCTGATGGTATCCCCTGTGTAAGTCGAAAAGTCGAAATCGTGACGTCGCTTTTCCCCTGACGTCATGGGTGGTTGATTGCTGCTCCCACCTCGGGTTTCCAAAAGCTGCTTCACGCCCCTGATCTAGTTACAAGAAAATGCCTCGACCGAGAGGAATATCGTTCCTGAACTTTTGAACGTCTCTTTCTCTGTTCAAAATTTGTCTCGAGAGATTTGTAGAATTTAATTATTTACCGTGGTCGGAGCGCATGCGCACCGATGATTACCAGGTAGATAGTAGGCGCTCGTGTGCTATAAGTACTTTGAAGAGAGACCGCTTACCCCCCTTAAGGGGTGGAAGCCTTCGGCTTCTGACGGCTTCAGACAAATAACATTTACCGCGGTCTTTGCACTTTTCTATTTAGGAGATCTGTGTGTGATCTGAGAGTTGGGGTGAACGTGAAGTTCTCTCCAGGGGATCTTTTTGCATGTGGCAATCTCCAAATGCGATCCATGGATCTGTGCATGCACGTCGCCAGAGCCGCAGTGCCGGGTTCGCCACGATGAATGTTCCGGTTCCTTTTTACCCAGCAGTGGAAGTGGCCAAGGTTGGATCCCAGGGAAG